CTTTCACAGGGGTCGCCTAAGACCATCGGAAAACACATATATAATTACATATTGTTTTTGTGATTAATCACTATGCTTTAATTATGTTCAATTTGTAACAATGAAATTGGGGGTCACCACAACATGAGGAACTGTATTAAAGGGTCGTGGCATTAAGAAGGTTGAGAACCACTGCTATAAGGATATAATCAACGAAATCGTTTCTTGAACAAAATAAAGTACACGGGGGAATAAAAAAAAGAGATGGAGGAATTTATAGATTAAAAGAGTCAAAATACGTATCTTCCAATCACAATGTATGGATTTTACTTAGATCCTAATTTAAACAAACTGTAAAAAGAAAAACAAAATAATATTTATGAGAAAACAGGAAATATGAATACCTCTTGGTACTTTATGATATTAAGAAATTATTGCTGAATTATTGTAGATGGGATAATGAAATTGTGGTCATGTTGAGCATTTATCTTTTAGAATGATGTCTAGAATTTAGAGAGGGAATTGGATGAAGTATAGTTGAAAAAAAGTTTGCCTATGAGCTGTTATTGTTGAAGATGGATGTTGGATACATAAGGGTTCACTATACTACTCTGACAACGTCTGTCTATTTGAAATTCTTCATTATTCAAAAGTTAACATTGTTATGAAGAACGAAGAGATTTAGAGAAACGAAATCAAAACTAAAGCATCATTACACATAATTATTTCAAAGTTACGTAATTTTGTATGTCCATCTGTATGTCCATTACTTAGAAGACTGGTAAAGGCACACAGAAAACTGCTTTAGTTGATGTAGAGCACTATTTTTAAAAATGCATCAGAGCTAATAACAATAACAGTAATTCCTCAAGTGATATGATATGACAGCAAACTTTAAATGAGTGAAATACAGGGGAAGACAACTATCACTATCATCAAATTTTCATGAAAATTAGTGATAAATAAAAAGTATGGCCCAGCCAGTGTGGCTCAGTGGTTGAGATTCAACCTGTGAACCAAGAGATCATGGTTTAATTCCTGGTCAGACACATTCCCCGGGTTGTGGGCTCAATCCCGGTAGAGGGCATGCAGGAGGCAGCCAATCAATGATTCTCTCTCATCACTGATGTTTCTCTTCTTCTCTGAAATCAATAAAAAAAAATGTATTTTTAAAAGTGTATGCATATGTTTATTGAATGTGTCAGGGTTTGTTTGTTTTTAACCTGGACATCATAATCCATTGAAACATTTCAAAGCTAAACGCACAGATCTAAATTCGTAGGTCAAATTTCATGTGTTTCTTTAGCTTTTCTTAGAATCTTAAAGGGATCCATGACACAGAAAAAGTTAAGAACTACTGCTCTGAAGCTGAGCAGAAGTCCAAAATATTCAGACTAAAACTGGAATCCTCCAACTTTTATAAAATGTGCCATGAAGTTCCCTGTGACAATCGTGTTAGAGCTATAGAAGGGGGGTGGGATGAAGTAGGAGTCATAAATACAGTCTTTTCATTCTTGGCACTTTTCTGTTTACAGCATCAGGTATTACATTCAGCCTGCCAATGACTTGTTACAGTCTGGCTTCAATGTTTATATACTCCTGAGAGGGAAAACAAATAGCATGGTAACAGTAACTTAGACCAAAACAAAATAATCGTCACCATCACCTGTCAGATGAAGTGCCCTTAAAGCCAAAGTTTTTAGAGCTGTGGTGCTTACCAGAGGAAAGTCTCTGTGCTGCAGGCGCAGGTACCATGACACTAGGCTTCTCCGTCTGGTATGTGGTTGCTGCTAATGTGCTACTCTCAGCATCATTGTTAGTTTGGCCTGTGACTCCAAAGCTGGAGCTGGGGTAGCAGGCCTGGTACTGACTCTGACCAAGGATAGTATAGGTGGGATAGTCCTGTAGATCAAAGGGGTTAAGGGAGAAAAATAAGACTTTTAGATACAGCAAAACATTAATTTCAATGTGAAATTTCTAAGGAAATTCTCATGTCCTTCTTATTCATAATTATTTTCCTTAATCATTAAATTGGCTTCTTCTTCATCTTCAGCTTAAAGAAATGATTTTCAAAATGCATTCTGTTGGAAACCTACGAGTCAAGAGGAGATGCCTCATGGCTGTCTGGAATGGGGAAGGCTGAGAGGGAAAGGTCCCATGCACTCTACACATAATGTCCCTTTTTCTAAATATAATAGCTCTCTCTCTCTCTCTCCTTCCTATTTTATGTATTGAATTTCTAGATAAATATCTGCATGGAATTCTTGAAGAAAGATCTACTCTTTAAGTAGTTTATAAGCCACCTGGCCAGCATGAACCAGGAGGTCACGGTTCGATTCCCCGTCAGGGCACATGCCCAGGTTGTGGGCTCTGTCCCCAGTGTGGGGCATGCAGGAGGCAACCAGTCATTGATTCTCTCTCATCACTGATGTTTCTATCTCTCTCTCCCTCTCCCTTCTTCTCTGAAATCAATTAAAAAAAAAAAAGTTTATGAACCACTGCACTAGATGGTAGTGCTTCTAAGGACAGAAGACCTTAAACAAAAAAGATCACAAATCCTACATTAAAGTTTCCCAGTTTAACAACTTTCTTTCTAAAATAATCAATGTTTCTTTAGAATATTCAAAGGGAACTTTTGCTGGTGTCACGAGCACATACATGTCAAAACTTATCAAACTGTACAATTTAAATCTGTAAAGTTTATTATATGTCAATTACACCTTAATAAAGCTGTTAAAAAATGGGTATGATGTATAGCTCAAAAACACACCTTAAAAAATTTCATCTATACTGAAGTTGATAAGAAACAGAAAGACGCTAACTGATCAGGAAGAGGGAGGCACATATTGCCTCTAGTTGAAAAAGACTGCTTTAGATCCATTTACTAATGTACAATAACATACACAAGGCAGCAGGCTATGTTAAACTACCCTATAAGGCAGCAGTTCTCAACCTGTGGGTTGAGACCCCTTTGGGGGTCGAACGACCCTTTCACAGGGGTCACTAAGACCATCGGAAAACACATATATAATTACATATTGTTTTTGTGATTAATCACTATGCTTTAATTATGTTCAATTTGTAACAATGAAATTGGGGGTCACAACATGAGGAACTGTATTAAAGGGTCATGGCATTAGGAAGGTTGAGAACCACTGCTATAAGGATATAATCAACGAAATCGTTTCTTGAACAAAATAAAGTACACGGGGGAATAAAAAAAAGAGATAGAGGAATTTATAGATTAAAAGAGTCAAAATACGTATCTTCCAATCACAATGTATGGATTTTACTTAGATCCTAATTTAAACAAACTGTAAAAAGAAAAACAAAATAATATTTATGAGAAAACAGGAAATATGAATACCTCTTGGTACTTTATGATATTAAGAAATTATTGCTGAATTATTGTAGATGGGATAATGAAATTGTGGTCATGTTGAGCATTTATCTTTTAGAATGATGTCTAGAATTTAGAGAGGGAATTGGATGAAGTATAGTTGAAAAAAAGTTTGCCTATGAGCTGTTATTGTTGAAGATGGATGTTGGATACATAAGGGTTCACTATACTACTCTGACAACGTCTGTCTATTTGAAATTCTTCATTATTCAAAAGTTAACATTGTTATGAAGAACGAAGAGATTTAGAGAAACGAAATCAAAACTAAAGCATCATTACACATAATTATTTCAAAGTTACGTAATTTTGTATGTCCATCTGTATGTCCATTACTTAGAAGACTGGTAAAGGCACACAGAAAACTGCTTTAGTTGATGTAGAGCACTATTTTTAAAAATGCATCAGAGCTAATAACAATAACAGTAATTCCTCAAGTGATATGATATGACAGCAAACTTTAAATGAGTGAAATACAGGGGAAGACAACTATCACTATCATCAAATTTTCATGAAAATTAGTGATAAATAAAAAGTATGGCCCAGCCAGTGTGGCTCAGTGGTTGAGATTCAACCTATGAACCAAGAGATCATGGTTTAATTCCTGGTCAGACACATTCCCCGGGTTGTGGGCTCAATCCCGGTAGAGGGCATGCAGGAGGCAGCCAATCAATGATTCTCTCTCATCACTGATGTTTCTCTTCTTCTCTGAAATCAATAAAAAAAAATGTATTTTTAAAAGTGTATGCATATGTTTATTGAATGTGTCAGGGTTTGTTTGTTTTTAACCTGGACATCATAATCCATTGAAACATTTCAAAGCTAAACGCACAGATCTAAATTCGTAGGTCAAATTTCATGTGTTTCTTTAGCTTTTCTTAGAATCTTAAAGGGATCCATGACACAGAAAAAGTTAAGAACTACTGCTCTGAAGCTGAGCAGAAGTCCAAAATATTCAGACTAAAACTGGAATCCTCCAACTTTTATAAAATGTGCCATGAAGTTCCCTGTGACAATCGTGTTAGAGCTATAGAAGGGGGGTGGGATGAAGTAGGAGTCATAAATACAGTCTTTTCATTCTTGGCACTTTTCTGTTTACAGCATCAGGTATTACATTCAGCCTGCCAATGACTTGTTACAGTCTGGCTTCAATGTTTATATACTCCTGAGAGGGAAAACAAATAGCATGGTAACAGTAACTTAGACCAAAACAAAATAATCGTCACCATCACCTGTCAGATGAAGTGCCCTTAAAGCCAAAGTTTTTAGAGCTGTGGTGCTTACCAGAGGAAAGTCTCTGTGCTGCAGGCGCAGGTACCATGACACTAGGCTTCTCCGTCTGGTATGTGGTTGCTGCTAATGTGCTACTCTCAGCATCATTGTTAGTTTGGCCTGTGACTCCAAAGCTGGAGCTGGGGTAGCAGGCCTGGTACTGACTCTGACCAAGGATAGTATAGGTGGGATAGTCCTGTAGATCAAAGGGGTTAAGGGAGAAAAATAAGACTTTTAGATACAGCAAAACATTAATTTCAATGTGAAATTTCTAAGGAAATTCTCATGTCCTTCTTATTCATAATTATTTTCCTTAATCATTAAATTGGCTTCTTCTTCATCTTCAGCTTAAAGAAATGATTTTCAAAATGCATTCTGTTGGAAACCTACGAGTCAAGAGGAGATGCCTCATGGCTGTCTGGAATGGGGAAGGCTGAGAGGGAAAGGTCCCATGCACTCTACACATAATGTCCCTTTTTCTAAATATAATAGCTCTCTCTCTCTCTCTCCTTCCTATTTTATGTATTGAATTTCTAGATAAATATCTGCATGGAATTCTTGAAGAAAGATCTACTCTTTAAGTAGTTTATAAGCCACCTGGCCAGCATGAACCAGGAGGTCACGGTTCGATTCCCCGTCAGGGCACATGCCCAGGTTGTGGGCTCTGTCCCCAGTGTGGGGCATGCAGGAGGCAACCAGTCATTGATTCTCTCTCATCACTGATGTTTCTATCTCTCTCTCCCTCTCCCTTCTTCTCTGAAATCAATTAAAAAAAAAAAA